ACAATCAACCTACCAGAATGTCTTTGGAGTGTGGAAGGAAACTGAAGTACCCAGAGGAAACCTACACAGGCACAGGGAGAGCATGCAGACTCCAGGCAAGTGGCCTGGTTAAGATTCAAATCAATGATCCTAATACTGCCAGGTGGAAGTGCTAACCATTTAGCCACTGTACTTCAATAAAACTCACTAGGGTTTATTTCCAAAAAGAGCAGAGAATGTTCACTTAGCTTAAAGCGGAGTTCAACTCACTCTGTAAAAAAATAAGTCAGCAGCTACAAAAACTGTAGCTGCTGACTTTTAAAAAACAGCCACCCACCTGTCGCACGATCCCGCGTTGCCCCCGCCGCAGCTCGTTTCACCGGCCGTCCTGTATTCCAGGTGCCGGCATCTTCAGTGTGGGCACCCGGCTGTGACAGCTTGTGGCATCACAGCCGGGTACCCACTGCACATGCGTGAGTAGTGCTGTGCTTCCTGAATGGCCCCGTCGTCTTCTGGGACCTGTGTCACGTGTCCCACAAGAATTTAGGGAGGGAGGGTAGGAGGACAACTGCCTAGGCAATCACAGCGGAAGGGGGAGCGGGTACCTGTCAAATTCGGGTACTCACTCCCCCCTGCTCCCCAAAGGTGCCAATCCTTAATGGGGAGCGGGGGACAAATCTTTAAAGCGGAACTTCCCCTTTTGGGTGGAACTCCGCTTTAATAAATATTGGGGGGATTTGCTATTGCTGGTGCCCACAAAATCTGGTGCAGCTGTGCACAGTAGCCCATCAGCTTCCAACTTCAGCCTTTTCAATTAGGCTTTGACAATAAAGCCTAGCAGTTGATTGGTTACTTTGCACAGCTGCAGCAGATTCCTTTGGCACCAGCTTTAGTAAATCCATCCTCCTAGATTGTAAGCTCGAAAGAGTAGGGCCCTCTAACCCCTCGTGTGCTGTTTGTAGTTGCTGTACTGTTTCTTGTATTGTCCCCCCCTTCTATTGTACAGCGCTGAGCAAACCCTTTGGCGCGCTATATAAACTCGATGTAATGTAATATGAATCTGTGTTCACTTTAACCACTTGCACTCCTGAGAATTTACCCCCCTTAATGACCAGGCCTCTTTTTGCTACTCGGCGCTGCACTAATTCAACTAATAATTGCGCGGTCATGCAATGCTGCACTCAAACGAAATTTATGTCCTTTTTTTTACACAAATAGAGCTTTCTTTTGGTGGTATTTTATCACCTGTGCGCTTTTTATTTTTCACGCTATAAAACAAAAAAAGACCAAACATTTTGAAGAAAAACAATATTTTTTACTTTCAGCTATAAAAAATATATAGTAAACTCAAAGTTGGTTATAAATTTAGGCCAAAATGTATTCTGCTCCATGTTTTTGGTAAAAAAATCCCAATAAGTGTATATTGATTGCTTTGTGTGAAAGTTATAGCGTCTACAAACGCAAAAGTATAGATACTGCAATTTACGCCATTTTTTGCTATACAGCGCTGCGCTAGTTTAACGGACAATTGCGCGGTCATGCTATACGGTACATAAATGAAATTTATGTCCTTTTTTCACACAAATAGAGCTTTCTTTCGGTGGTATTTGATCGCCTGTGCGTTTTTTATTTTTTTCGCTATAAAAAAAAAAGTCTGACAATTTTGAGAAAAAAAAACAATATTTTGGACTTTTTGCTATAAAACATGTCTAGTAAAAAAAATTTAAAAATCAAATTTCGGCCAAAATGCATTCTGCGATGTGTCTTTGCTGAAAAAAAAACAATACGTGCAAATTAATTGGTTTACGTGAAAGTTACAGCGTTTACAAAAGGCGGGAAAGATACTCGGATTTTTAATTTTTTTTTTATACTAATAATGGCGGAGATCAGCGACTTACGGCGGCGATCAGCGACTTATGGCAGGACTGCGGGACTGCCGCGGACATTCTGACACTGGGAGGGAACTGACTTGGGGTCACTGACATCCCCAGTGACACCAATACAGTGATCAGTGCAAAAAAAACACTGACACTGTACTAATGGCACTGGGGAGGAAGGGGTTAACTTTTTTTTTTTTTAGTGAAAGGGTTAACTGTGTGAGAGGAGTGTTTTACTAGGGGATGGGGGTGTGTGCTGCACGGGGACACGCTGATCGGGAGAGATAAACTCTTCTCTCCCGATCAGCATGTCAGGAGCTGTCAGGGAACTGACAGAAAGCAGAGCTACTGCAGCCCGGTAATGACCTGCCGTGACCCAGCGACTGACACCCGTGGCCGGGTATCAGCGGTGCAGGTAGGGCGGCAGCGTGCCTCGTGCACGCCTCCTACCTGTTTTGCAAAAGCGCGTTTTAAAAAGTGCTTTTGCCCAGCCCTGCCGCCATATTTCTACAGTGGCTTGGCAGCATGTGGTTAAGCATCTAATCATGTACAAAGGAAATGAAAAAATAGGGTTTTGCTAGTATATGATTTATTGATTGACGTGAACAAAGGGGTTGATTTACTAAAACTAGAGAGTGCAAAATCTGGTGCAGCTGTGCATGGTAGCCAATCAGCTTTTAACTTCAGCTTGTTCAATTAGACTTTGATTAAAACCTGGAAGCTGATTGGTTTCTATGCAGAGCAGTACCAGATTTTTTATTCCACAGTTTTAGTAAATAACCCCACAATTTCCTTACTCACTAAGCTAAGTAAGAGGTCTGTCTGTCCATCCTAAAACTTACCGCAGACAGGCAAATCTCTCATTAAACACTCAACCTGGTTCAATTTTCTTTCCTACTTACTGTCTGCCTGCATGTCATTTTTTCTGTGGTCAGAATTTTTTTTTTCTTTCCCAAATATTTTTATCGTTTTATAATGAACAAAAGTACAAATATTTGTTTGGATCATTAATAAAAAGAAAAAGTATTAACTGCAGTAGGTAGTGGATCTCAAAGAAACAACACACATAGATCGGCTACAATATATAGGGGAAGATTTACTAAACTAGTGCACACACAATCTGGTGCAACTGTGCATGGTAACCAATCAGCTTCTAGGTTTTATAGTCAAAGCTTAAAGTTAGAAGCTGAGTGGTTGACTGGCATTGCTGCACCAGATACTGTGTGCTCCAGTTTTAGAAAATCTTCCCTAAAATATCACTGGATAGCCATCATTTTTTTTTATAAAGTAAAAGGCGTATGTGCCTGTTCAGGCCTTCCGAGTCTCAGGCTCTGAATAGGTAGATCCACTAGCCAGTAAGTTTCACATAAAACATAAGAGCAATGAAATTAAATGCAATCCTTAAGAGCATAGAGATGAATCGCATAAAAAAAAGAAGAGAAATCATTCTGTAAGATCTGCACTATCATTGCTAATTATTTTCTTTCTACTTTCCACCTGTTTGGAATTTTGTTAAGATTTCTTCTGCTTCAATCCAGTGGATATTTAGGGCCCCATTTGAAGTAAACATTTGAGCCTGATTTGGACCTGGAGCGACCTTAGAAGGTGAGCTCACAGGAGCATTATAACAAATACCAGAAATATTTATCAGTAGTTTAAACACTTGCCATCCTGAGGATTTACACCCCTTCCTGACCAGGCCATTTTTTGTGTTATGGCGCTGCATTACTTTAACTGACAATTGTGTGGTCATGCAACACTGCACCCAAATTAAATGTATGTGCTTTTTCCACACGAATTGAGCTTTCTTTTAGTAGTATTTGATTGCCTGTGTGTTTTTTATTTTTTTGAACTATAAAAAAAAAGTCTGACAATTTTGAGAAAAAAACAATATTTTTTACTTTTTGCTATTGTTACATGTCCAGTAAAAAAATTATAAAAATCAAATTTCGTCATAAATTTCGTCCAAAATGTGTTCTGCTACATATCTTTGCTAAAAAAAAATCCCAATACGTGTAAATTAATAAGTTTACATGACAGTTACAGCATTTACAAATGGCGGTATATATACTGGAATTTATTTTTTATTTTTACTAGTAATGGCGGCGATCAGCGACTTATAGCGGAACTGCGGCAGGCATTCTGACACTGGGGGGAACTGACTTACATTGATCAGTGCTAAACAGCCTATCCTGCTCTCAGCTAATAATGAAATTTTCTACTCCTCCTACCAGTCCATCCCCCACAGTTACTACCTTTTGTACCACTAGCCCCTCCCTCCTAGATTGTAAGCTCCAAGGAGCAGGGCCCTCCTATCCCTCTTGTATTGAACTGTATTGTTGCTGTATTGTCTCCCTTTATAACGTAAAGCGCTGAGCAAACTATTGGAGCTATATAAATCCTGTATAATATTTTAATAATAATAAAAAAAAACACTGACAATGTACTAATGCAACTGGGCAGGAAGGGGTTAACATGAGGGGCAATCAAAGGGTTAACTGTGTGCTGGGAGTGTTTTACTATGGGGCCTTGTGTTTGTGTTTCACTGTAAGCACACTGCTTTGTATGGCTGTGCTGTGCAAAGCCATGCAAAGCAGTGTACACGAGCTGACAGGGAGAACTGTTTTGTTTACACAAACAGTTCTCCTCTCCATCGGAGATCCTCGGCAATCACCGGGTGCCGGCGAGTAATTGACAGCCGCCTACCCGGAACTGCAAAAACACGTATACATACGTGATTTTGCTCACTTGTACTGCCCTGTAGAAATATTTCTGCTATAGGGCGGACGGGAAGCAGTTAAAATAAACTATTGGGGTTATTTACTAAAACTGGAGAGTGCAAAATCTGCTGAAACTCTGCATAGAAACCAATCAGCTTCCAAGTTTTATTTCCAAAAGCTTAACAGAACATGCAGCAGTTAGAAGTTGATTGGCTACCATAAACAGCTACACCAATCTGAGTACTCCAGTATTAGTAAATCTCCCCCATATGTAAAAATGAGGAAGGTGGTGAATTTAGGATGTCTCAGGATCAATAGACAAGGTTAGTTCACCTTTAACTGCTTGCCAACCGCAGATAGCCAAATGACGGCTACACTGCGGCCGGCTAGTTCTGGGAGGGCATCATATGACGTCCTCCCAGAATGCGCTCTCCTACGGACACAGCTGATCACGTGATGTGGTAAAAGGCCAATGACACGCTGATCGCCGGGAAATGCAATTGCCGGTTCTCGGCTGCACTTTCCTCACGCTGTTAGAGCAGGGATCGGCACCGATCATCAGGTCACTGATCAGTGCCCAGCAGTGCCACCCAACAGTTCCACCCACCCATGCCCAGCAGTGCGCCCACTTGTGCCACCCAGCAGTGCCACACACCTGTGCCCAGAAGTGCCACCCACCTGTGCCACCCAGCAGTGCCACACACCTGTGCCCAGAAGTGCCACCTACCTGTGCCCAGCAGTGCACCCAGCAGTGCCACCCAGCAGTGCCACACACCTGTGCCCAGAAGTGCCACCTACCTGTGCCCAGCAGTGCCACCCTCCTGTGCCCACCCACCTGTGCCCACCAGTGCCACCCACCTGTGCCCATCAGTGCAGCCCAGCAGTGCTGCCAGTCAGTGCCACCAGTCAGTGCCCAGCGGTTGTGCCAGTCAGTGTCCAGCAGTTGCACCAGTCAATGCCTAGCAGTGCCGCCAGTCAGTGCTCAGCAGTGATGCCAGTCAGTGCCACCTATCCGTGACACCTCATTAGTGCTGCCTATCAGTGCGGCCTATCCGTGCCACCTCATTAGTGCTGCCTATCAGTGCCGCCTATCAGTGCCCATCAGTGCCGCCTATCAGTGCCACCTATTATTGCCCATCAGTGCTGCCTCATCAACACACATCAGTGAAGGAGAAAAATTACCTGTTTGACAAATTTTATAATAGAAACAAAGAAACTTTTTTTTTTTGTTTATAGTGCAAAAAGTAAAGTGCCCAGCAGCGAATACCACCAAAAGAAAGCTCTATTTGTGAGAAAAAAATTATACAAATTTTATATGGGTACAACCTTGCATGACTGCGCAATTGTCAATCAAAGTGCGACAGCGCTGAAAGATGAAAATTGGCCTGGTAAAGAAGGGGGTATAAGTGCCTGGTAGGCAAGTGGTTAAAATAATGACCCTATGCAGTTCATGAACACCATTCCATGATGCTTAACTAATCAGATTTTATAAATCTTCTTATACCTCTAGGTCGTTTGCGCCAAGAGTGAATCTTCCCCCAAACATTTCTTTTCACAGTTCCATCCTGTCTTCTTCTCTAGAATGGACATGCTGTTAGTACAAGTGCCCCATAATGGTACAAAAGAGAGAGATACATCCTTCTGAGCCCTGCACATGCACAGTGCTATATTTTGCTGTCACCAATGACCTCAGCAGCTACAACATTCTCTGGTCTGCACAGTCAATGAGCTCATCTGCTCAGTGGAGAGAATAAGGCACATGTGCGGAACTCAAAAGAAGGACACCACTTGCTCCTGTACTGCTAGGGGGCACTTGTAATAACTTCTGGTCCACCCTAGCAAAAAGCACAGGACGGAGCTGTGAAAACATCAGAAGTGTTTGGGGCATGCTTAACTCTGTACATAAATGGCCTACTGGTATGGGAAAGAGCATAAATGCATATTTTTAAAATTGGATTTGTTTACTGTTGTGGAATAGTTTCACTATATAGGGTACTTTTTTTTAAGGTGAACTAGCCCTTTATTTAATGCAGAAGGATGAGGTTGTCAATGTAGTCATAGATTATTTTGGAATAATGTTAATACCTGTCATTTCATCATGTCCTATATACTGATTCGGCTTTACTGCCCACACCATTAACTCCATCCCTCTGGATATGTGTTCGACTAGAAGTCAGAGAGATATAAGTACACAACAGCCATCCCATTAGAGGGAGGATTTAAGTAACATTTATATCTTTTCTTGAAAAAGTGATGTTCTTATTTAGAAGGCAACCTGTCACAAAACTGGAGGATTTCTTATTAGCATCCCACTTTATAATAAACCAAGATGAAAAATCTACACTTAGAATATGTACGAAAGATTGCTCACAGGCGGTGGGCATCCTGTCATGATGGTTTGTTTACCAGCAACTGATATTAAGATGTCTAGCAGCTCTAAGTGGTATTTCTTGGTGTTCTGAGCAATCTCCCTTACATATTCTATATGAGTATTTTTCATCTTGGTTTATTATACTCTAAGATCTATCTATTGACTGTATCTGCATGATGCATTTCCTGGGGGGTACACTACAAGTGATTTTTGTCTGGAATTTCTCCCATGGGCCAGCAGGAACGGGTTCTGGCACCACTACGATGATCTTTGACGTTTTCGATAAGCTACACCCCTAGATAAACCTTTTTGTGGGGAGATTGCGCTACTAATTCTGCACAACCTGTTATGAGCTACAATTCTTTGTTGGTCCTGAAGAAGCAGGATAAACCTGTGAAACGTGTTGATCTATTTCAAGGGTGTATACAGTATGTGTTCCTCTTTTGAATTCTTTTATCTATGAATATATGTGGACTATTCATGGTTTTTAAGCAACTTTGTAAAAAAAAAAAAAGTCTGATTGTTTTATATTTTATTTTGGTCTCTTTACATGTGATCTGTGGTTACCAGTAGTATAACTCAAAGTCCCACATAAGGTGTTTTCAGTAATTGCTATACTTTTATGGGATGATTCTGTGGTTATACTATGAGGGATTATTAGCAATACACCATACACCATCCTTTTCAATTGTCTACTACTTTTTACTTGGTGTTAGGTGCAATAGCATAGAGTTCCACACAATATTTTTCCCAGTAAAATATCAAATTGCTATAACAATAAGAGCAGAAAACAGACACAAGTTATTCTTGAAAATATAGAAAAAAATAACCATCTTACCACTGGATCCACTTTTCATTTTATTCTGCAATGAAATGGGACTAACTTCTAGATAATATGCGCTAAGGGATAACTAAGGGATGTATTCACAAAGCAATCTGTCCAGCAAACCTGTATGTATATTTTCTATTCTGGTTGGATGTTTTTTCCATTATTATTAGCAATAGTAAAGATAGGTTCATTTATAATGAACAAAGTGAAATGTGAAAATACTGTATTATGGCCACTAGATGGAGCAGACCACCATAGGAAATAAATACATTTTGGTACAAAGATTTACACTGGAAAAACTCTAAAGAAGTGGAGGAAATTAGCAAGTACATGTAATCATTGCTATTATGATTATTGTTATTATTATTATGATTATGCTATTATTATTCTATCTTGTTTGGTAATTCCCTCTAGAGTTCTCTTTGTATGAACAGATAAAGAAAATAAAACTTCAAGGGCACAGGATGATCTGTTAGTTGACATTTCTTTTTCACACACAAGATCACTGCACCTCTGGTGATTCTAGGCAGATGATTGTTTTTTAAAATGTATGTCAGTACAAATAAAAAAAAAAAACATATGCAGTACCTCTCTACAATACAAGCACATGTTCATATTTTGTTTTTTTAGAAATCCAATGAGCTTCTAACTTCCTGTAGACAGCTGACAAATACAAATACTGTAGCTGCTGACTTTTAATATTAGGACACTTACCTGTCCGTGGATCCAGTGGTGTCCTCACCTTGAGCCATTTCTTCAGTCGGCTGTTGGGTGCACAGGCAGTTTCCTACTGTGCTCGAGTGAATCGTGTTGCGCTTTGTGAATGTGTCGCAGTCCTTTGGGACCTGTGAAATGTCCCATAGGGCTGCAGGGGGGAAGGAGGGGGCTGAACTTCTGTGACTCAGCAGTGCTCAGCCATTCATAGAAAGCAATGAATACAAACCTTCCTCTGATTGGCTGAGTCAAGAAGGAGGGCTGATGATGTCACAACCTCTGACCAATCAGAGGAAGATTTGTATTTATTGATAGAATACATAGCTTTCTATGAATGGCTGATAATGAGGCATTACCTCCTTGAAATGTGTAGTCACCCCAACCTCGCCCCCTGCATATCTCTTATGCCTGACGTCTTTTGCTGGACTTTCCCACACTGCCAATGTGTATGCCAGGGCTGTGAGTACCCTCCTGCTGCCATGAGTGCTTCCTAGCTGCTGTATATCTCCTTCTTTTGGCTCACATGCTGACTTCAGAGTTCGGATCAGTTCGGATGTTGTCTACATGCTCTGTTTGCTCTACTACTATGTAAGTAGCCAATTGTATGGGTTTTTTTTTTAATAAAGTCTAACTCATTGCACTTAGTTTGCACCCTCTTGTATGTCGTTATTACATTTTCTCAAGTAATTTTCAAGCAATCTTTTCAATAACACTTCTGATATCAAAGGATGGCAGTAAATCCTGAAGACACAGCAGAAAGTGAGGGAAGATCTCTTCAAAGTTAGGGAAATCCTCTTTAAGACACTTGTCACCAGAACAGGTACCTTTGCCAAAATATTTCTACTTCTAATTTTGTTCTGGTAGCAGCAAAAAACATTTGAATTTCCGCTAACTTTCACCCTGCAGACAGTGTTCACCAGGCCAAATAGAGAAGGTGAATCTTCTTAAAATGGACATGAACACCAATAATAATCTTCTCCTTACCTCTCTAACAAGAGATCTTTCTGAGCCAATAATTATTCAGAAAAGTAAAAAACATTCTGGGGTGGAAGTGGGGGGCTGTCCAGCCATCCACATTATGCCCATTCTTCTGTGTGTTGTAATTCATTGAGAGAAGGTATTGAAGAAAAGCCTAGTATATAAATAGGTCATCTTTACGGAGCTCTCAAATTGTAAAACTCTAGAACCCATACAGATGCTCAACATTTGTTGTAAGGACGTTATGTTCACTTGATTCTGTGTATAGTGTCATCAGACTGTTAAACCAGGTCCCCAGCATTACCTTCACAAATAAATGTAATTTTCTACTAGGAAGTTGGCACTGCCCTCTCTGCCTTATAATTGGTCCATCAATATGATAACCAATTTTGACTAATCACAAGACATGGGAGTTAGGATTAAGCAATGGCTTCCTAAGTCCGCATTTGTACATTTTGGGTTCCAAGCTCCTGGGGTATTTTGGCGATTTACAGATATTCAAGCACTGCTGGGTACTGACACTTAACATCTGACACCACATCACACACGGAATGGGCACAAGTACACTTCCAGTGTGTACAAAACAAGCAGTTGTCAGTTTGATCGATTTACCACGGTGTTCACTGCATCACCCCAATTATCCCTAAAAATGGCAGTAGGAGAATGTATGGACTAGCTGTCCCATGGAGGCTGCATATACTATATTAGATGCCTTTTTCCCAATAGGCTAGCTGCCATTAAGAAAAAAAGTGGTGGATGTTGACACAAACAAGTTTAATGTTTCTGAACTATTTATTTTCATAGATATTCTCAGAATTATATAATGGTTATCAGAAGAACAACTGTAGCCACGTGTTATACCTATATACACTATATTTCCAAAAGTATTTGGACACCACTCCAAATCATTAGATTCAGGTGTTCCAATCACCTCCATGGCCACAGGTGTATAAAATCAAGCACCTAGGCATGCAGACTGCTTCTATAAAACATTTGTGAAAGAATGGGTCACTCTCAGGAGCTCAGTGAATTCAAGCGTGGTACTGTGATAGGTTGCCACCTGTGCAATAAGTCTATCCATGAAATTTCCTTGCTACTAAATATTCCACAGTCAGCTGTTAGTGGCATTATAACAAAGTGGAAGCAACTGGGAACAACAGCAACTCAGCCACGAAGTGGTAGGCCACATAAGATGACAGAGCGGGGTCAGCGCATGCAGAAGTGCACAGTGCGCAGAAGTCGCCAACTGTCTGCAGAGTCAATAGCTAAAGACCTCCAAACTTTGTGTGGCATTCAGGTTAACAGTAGTATGTAGAGAGCTTCATGGAATGGGTTTCCATTGCTGAGCAGCTGCATCTGAGCCTTACATCACCAAGTGCAATACAAAGCATCGGATCCAGTGGTGTAAAGCACGCCACCATTGGACTCTAGAGCAGTGGAGACATGTTCTCTGTAGTGGCAAATCATGTTTCTCTGTCTGGCAATCCAATGGACATGTCTGAGTTTGGCTGTTGCCAGGAGAATGATACTTGCCTGACTCATTGTGCAAAGTGTAAAGTTTGGTTTGGGGGGGGATTACGGTGTGGGGCTGTTTTTCAGGGGTTGGGCTTGGCCCCCTAGTTCCAGTGAAGGGAACTCTTAAGGCAGCAGCATACCAAGACATTTTGGACAATTTCATGCTCCTAACTTTGTGGGAACAGTTTAGGGATGGCCCCTTCCTGTTTCAACATGATCATGGATGAGCAAATTTGAGGTAGAGGAACTTGATTGGCCTGACCTCAACCTGACAGAACACGTTTGGGATGAATTAGTGAGGAGACTGTGAGCCAGGCCTTCTCGTCCGACATCAGTGCCTGACCTCACAAATGCGCTTCTGGAAGAATGGTCAGACATTCCCATAGACACACTCCTAAACCTTGTGGACAACCTTCCCAGAAGAATTGAAGCTGTTATAACTGCAAAGGGTGAGCCAATGCAATACTGAACCTTTATGGACTAAGAGTGGGATGCCATTAAACTTCATGTGTGTATAAAGGCAGGCGCCCCAATACTTTTGGCAATATAGTGTATGTATCTTGTGATGTAAAAGAACACAATGAACCAGGGAGAGCAGTTCATATCATTGAGTACACCTGTGAAAGAACAGCTTTGTGCATCCTATGCTGAGGACAACTATTGTTTGCTGCGAGTGTGTGAATTTCTTGCAAGCTGGATAGATATTTAAGTGCAAAATGAAATTTGATCTCTACAAATTTTTCAGTCATTAAACATACATTTAGGGTCAAAGAAGTCAAAAATCCAATTCACCAACAATATGTCAACAATAAAAGTACCTTTCATTAGTACTTATATATGTTTTCCACTATTTCAAATATGAAGGTTACTTTTTCTATTGTCAGACCAAAAGTGAACATTTTATTCCTATAAATTGTCGGTTTTTACTATGATTCCTTTTTTAAAAAAGATATGACTGTTAAGCACAGAGAAAGCAGACTGGACTGCAAATATTATGTAGTGGGATGGCACAGTTAAAATAAAAAATTATACTCATGTACCCCTAACCCCATCTTTAACACCCTCTACAAATAACGGCAATTCAGAAAGTCACAGGAGTTATTTAACATGCATTTGTTTTATGACATCTTCTCGTCCAGCTGTTTAGTTCACAAATATAGATATTGTATTAGTTTGGAATAAAGGCTGTATTTCTCATAAATTGGTATTTTATCCCATGAGTCATATTTTTGTTAGCCCACCTCAAAAGGCTCCTTTTATCATTGTCCTCTATAGACACTTCATAGAAATGCTTTGTTATCACAAGCTAGGATGTAGCTTTTATGATATAGTATCTGAAACCTGTGTGTGCCTGCAAAATTGATAATATAAGTTGCATGTGGTTTGTTCTGAAAATCTGCTTTAAAGGATAGGTTCACCTTTTAAGGCATATTACACCAATATTTAGGATGTAACGTGTAAGGCAGGCCACAGACTGTGCAAATTTCTTTCCTGCAACCATGGGTTGCAAGAAAGAAATTTGCGTGATTCCTCCATCAACACAGATGGTGCTGACAGGGGAATCCCTCCTGACAAACAATTGTATTCTTCCAGCAGGGGGGCAGGGGCAGGCAGGGGAAGCCCTCTTTGCTTGGAGAAGACAGTGATTATTGCTAGTGGCTTTAGCAGCCACTAGCGATAATTGCAAGTGAATCCAGCAGACTGGTTGTACCCAAGTTGATCGATCGATCGATCGATCAGCCTTGATTGATCAACTTGGTACATTCAGCCTGCCCAAACACATTTGTAATCTTGGGCCAGTTTCCTGCTAAACTGTCTATGGTTGCCTAACATGCTCCAGCACTTGTCCCCCTCACCCCCTTCCCTCTCTTTTCCCCCCTGTGACAGTGGAATGGGGGAATCCTCTAATTCTCTGCCCGTTGCACCTGCTGTCACAATTTGAAAATCTGTGAATGAAAGAACTACAAGCCCCAGTTACCACTGTGTCAGATGGCTTGTAGTTTTCAATGAACTGCAAGAGCATTGATCAGTATGCTTGTAGTTCCTTCATAAGACTTGCTGCTTTCTATCTGACAGCCCATAGAGAGGTACAGATTGAAAGCTGTAGGGCTTGTCTGCAGAAGCCTGACATTGCACCCATAATCCGCTGATCATAGGTGCAATGTTCTGCAAGTACCTGCAGAAAAAAAATAATGCACAATTTTTCTGCAAAAATATGTGCATTTATTATTTTTTCCCATGAAGGTGAATGTAGCCTTCAAACATTTTTGGTACTTTGGAAAAAAGTTTTAACATTAACAAATACTGTAACTATATGCTTGGTTTTCATAAATTGTCTTGTTTAGGCTGTTGAGTCTGCCTCTGAGCCATTCTTATTTCACTGTTATAAATTACTGGCCAATCAGACAATATATTTGCTGGCCGTTTTTTTATTTGGTCAAGTTACATAGGTTGAAAAAAGACACTTGTCTAACAAGTTCAACCAAAATCCAAATATAAATAGACTAAAAACCTGCATCTTCAGAGCTGCAAATCAATATTGTGCAACCTCTCTAGAACTGATCATGGAAGGAGCTTGAGTTGATAATGGAGCTGAGGATACAGATGAGAGTTGGAAAAATTGTGACGGTGAATCTTCTTAGTGGATTCACACATCAAAAAAAAAGTAACTGATTCCAACCCCATTTTATATATATACGTATAAAAATTAGCTTCAGATACACTTCAAAAAGTCTCTAGGTTGATTGTAATGCTTGCCCTCACTCTCACCTGAGCCCTTTTACTGTAACACTTAACTCTTCACCTCACCCTAATATTTAACTTTACCCTAAACCTATAATGTTAGCACTCATTCACACCATTTGCATTTGGATTCACTGGGCAGTGTTGGCCAATGCAGTTCCAGTGAAAAGACTGCCTTGTTTCCTAGTGTGACAGTTTATACCACTGCATTGAAGTGGAGTGCATGCAGTACTTTTTTCAGTATAGCCAGTTTTGACACAAACTACCACATGCCAACACCACTGTGGTGAATAGAACGTAATGAAAATCACTTGTAACATTTCAATAAAGTTCTAAAAAAAAATGAAAAAGTAAACAGTTTGATATACCAGGATCAGTGATTCTGCACTGTTCTCTCAGCTAACACCAGAAGCAAGGCATACAGTGTGGCTTCTGGTGTGAATCGGCCTTAATTCCGAACTCTTCATCTGACCATACCCTTTGAATCTCACATTAATCCTAAATCCTTGGGAAAGCTTGGTGGTTAAACCTAGAATGATGTTTTACCCTTAACTTCTCAAGCTTAACTGTATCCTTAACACTCAACCTTAGAGTGACCTTGTCACCATAGGGCTATTTGTACACAATGGGCACCAGTGGTGTATTTTGGTTGTCTGCTGCCCTAGGCAAGAGTAACATCTTGCCCCCCACCCTATGGGGGGGGGGGTGGAGAGAGAGAAAAAGAGAGATTTCAGCACTCACATGCCATCTACCATGATCTAGAAAATAAAAACAAAACAGCGCTGGGAGAGGATCACACATATAAAGTCTAGATATGGTTAGTGACAAATAACTGATAAAGCGGGAGAAATAAATTAGGGGAATAAGAGTACAATAATAATGATATCAAAATTGAGTGGCAATAAAGCGACAAACAGAGACATTAAAGTCCATAGTCCAAGGGTCCTAGGTGGAGGATGGTTGGTGAAGGCAACTCCCCATAGAGCGAAGCAGAACTCTGTAGGAGATAAATCGGACACAAGGGGGCGCCAATCTCAGTGTAGAGGGTTAAAAATGTATTGGTAACAAGAGGTCTAAAAACTACTCACAAATGTAAGAACTGTTAAAGCATGGTAAAAGAATGCCTTTGGTAAGCCTTCAGTCTGCCAGTGATGTGAAGATGGGTCCTGGTCATGCAGCATGAGCAGAGATGCACCCGCAGGGACGACTGACCATTTGGAAACTCGAGCACTGCCCGAGGGCCCTGGGTCAGTAGGGGGCCCCATGAGATGCCCCTGGTACCTTTTTCATAGGCTTTTTTGAGTTTGGGCAAGGGCACAGGGGCCCCATGATCCCCTATTGCCCGGGGGCCCCAAGAGTTTTCAGTCTGCCCCTGTGCACCCGTCAGTAGTCAGCAATGCAGAGAGTTTGTTAAAATGGCGCTGAAACCAGCGTGGACCACAAGGAAGTTGCAGCCTAAGTGAGCGACCAATGGCAAGGCAGGAACAGGGTAAGGTGACGTGTTTCGAAGCACTTTCTTCTTCTTCAGACGCTATTGACAGCTGCATCTCTACTCATCCTGCATGACCAGGACCCATCTTCACATCACTGGCAAACTGAGGGCTTACCATAGGCATTCTTTTATCATGCTTTAACACTTCTTACATTTGTGAGTTCTTTTTTGAACTCTTGTTACCAATACATTTTTAACCCTCTACACTGAGATTGGCGCTCCCTTGTGTCGGAGTCATGCTCAGGAAAGTCCAACGTTTTCCTCCTGCGTTGATCTCTGACAATGATCCGTGAACGTGAGTCAGACAGCCTTCAGCAGCCCGCACTGCTGTGCCTATCTCTGACAATGATCCAGGAAAGAGAGTCGGACAACCTTCAGCAGCCCACAGCCCGCACTGCTGTACCGCACCTGCTCCCCATTCTCAGTCACCGGATGCCATGTGTGTCACTTCTGCTGGTGGCAGGCGTCACCCCCCTTAAAAATGCTGCCCTAGGCAAATGCTTTGCTTGCCTTATGGGAAATACACCCCTAATGGGAACCATGTAAAAAAAGAGGAAACATACTTACATTTTCAATAGCCCATGTGTTGAAGTGCTT